ACTTGGTAGCCCAGGCTGGCCTCGAACTCACAGAGATCCGCCTGGCTCTGCCTCCCGAGTGCTGGGATTAAAGGCGTGCGCCACCACCGCCCGGCCTGTTTTTGGTTTTTCAATACAGGGTTTCACTATGTAGCCATAGCTGTCCTGGAACTCACTCTAGACCAACTGGCCTTGGACTCACCTGCCTCTTCTTCCTGAGTGCTGGCATTAAAGGCATGCACCACCACTGTCCAGCTCACTCTAGCTCTGATTGTTTTGAGTCTACCCTTACCTCCGGCTTGTGTCTCTTGCCACATCACCTCCTGTTAGTCCGTCTTGCTTGTCTTACTCTGTTCCTCGATCTCCTTAGAACGTTGGGTACCTCTAAAAATAATTCTCTTTTCTCAGTGTGTGTCTGCACTTGACGTTTATAAATCAGAAGCTCCATGGATGTCATCTCTACTTTTCCTGTTTGTTTCTTTCAGAGTATGGCTGGGTGTTAAATGCCTGCCATCGTTAGGCAGTACACATTCTTTGACTCCAGAGAGGGAGGGCTGTGATTCCCTCACACAAGCATAAGGAACTGAGTTGCAGCTTTTGTTTCCCAAGAGTGAAACCTAGAATCCAGGAAAGTAAACTTAAGTCTGTTCTAGTTTGACCTATGACATAGATACTAGCAGGAGGTATATAACTCTTTTTTAAAAAAAGTATTTATTTATTTATTTGTATTTTATGTGCATTTTATGTGTATTTGCCTGCATGTATGTCCGTGTGAGGGTGTCGGATCCCCTGGAACTGGAGTTACAGTTGTGAGATGCCATGTGGGTGCTGGGAATTGAACCCTGCTCCTCTAGAAGAGCAGCCAGTGCTTTTAACCCCTGAGCCATTTAGTCAGCCCTGGTATAACTCTTAATAATGATTGTTCTCCTTATGTTGAATTACAGAGGTGTCAGATGTATTGAAAGTCCAAATACATGCATGATTGTATTTGATGTCCTAAACAGTGTTCTGTTCCCTTGTTTAGAAACTCATAGAAGAGAACCTGTGTCCCTGCTCTTCACTCTTTCCTGGAATTCTGCATTTATCTCACCATCCTGAGATGTCCTAGTCTCGTTTTTCTTGCAAAGGACTCTACCAAAATCCTATCATTGATTCTTTTTTTTTTTTTTTTTTTCTTTGAGACAGGGTTTTCTCTGTGTAATTTTTCTTGTTCCTATCCTGGATCTCTCTCTGTAGACCAGGCTGGCCTCGAGCTCACAGAGATCTGCCTGGCTCTGCCTCCCAAGTGCTGGGCTCAAAGGCGTGGTGCCACCACCGTCCAGTCTATCATGGATTCTTAGAGCAGCCCCGCCTCCTTGGGTAGGCTCTTTGAGTTATTTCATCCCTGTCTTGCTTTGAGAGGTTCTGTTCTGCTTTGTCTTTGGATGTGAGGAATGATTTTGCTCTCAGTCCTCTTCTATTAAACCATAGTGCTAGATCTATGAATTAAGCCTTTGAAGAAAAGGTTTATTATTTTTAATTAGTATGTGTACTCCTTAAGTGGAGGTGTTCTTGGAGGCCAGGAGAGGGCATTAGACCCCTGAAGGCAGAGGAACAGGCAGCTGTGAGCTGCCTTGTGTTGGTGCTGGAAAGGGCACTTGGGTCCTCTGCAGCGGCAGGACATGCTTTTACTACTGAGATACCCATCCCTTCAGCCCCATCTATTCAATCTTAATAGTAACAATTTTTGTTGTTGTTCAATTCTTGAAGAAAATATTGAGCTGTTTGGTATGGAGGTGTGTGTGTCACAGCACATTCATGGAGGTCAGAGAACAGCCTGCAGGAGTTGATTCTCTTCTTCCTCCATGGGAGGCCCTGGGGGATTGAACTCAGGACTCTGGGCTCAAAGACAAGTGCCTCTCTGGCTGGACCATCCCGCTATTCCCTTTGTTCAATTCTTACTGTGTGGTGCATGCTATACAAAAATTCCATAGTTCTAAAAGATTTCCAACTCAAGAAACAGAGAATCAAAAAACCAAGATACATATCCCCTAAGGAACCAGGTCTAGAATTTGAACCACATTTTATTTAAAAGCTTTTGTTCTTAGAACTGTTAGGTTATTGTCATCATTTAGAGAACAGACAGTAGTCACTTTATGGACTGACTATATTGTATCATCTTCAGATCATGGTAACATGGCAATGACATACAGGTGATAGAAACCTCCTGAGAAGCATTTAAGGCAGGTAGTTTTCCTTATCTCATCTAAATGGTCACCCTAGCTATTGGACACATGTTTAATTACTGCACTTTAACTATGGAGCACATGAACCGTTTGTCAGATAAGCAGAGCTATGAAGGCATGCATTCTTGTTTTCAGAACATGCAACTTTAGCTGGAGGTGTTGCTGGGGGGTGGGGTGGGGGAGTTCTTGCCTCATGTGTGTGAAGCCCATCAGTCCCCGATGTTGATGAAAGACAGACAAATTAAATCAAATCAAATGTGCAGCTGGGACTGAGAAAGTCTGTGTGTCTTCTTCAACTTACATACTTGTGTTGGGGGCCATAGAGCCATTACAGGAAGCTGTCAGTGCCCGTTGGTTTCCTTGCTACAGTATGTTAATGTTCTAGCATAATTGTTGACCTGGGAGGTGTCCCGAGGCTCTCCATTAAAATAAAATAGTTTAATGACTTACCAGGGTTTGTGTTTATGACTGTGGCAGTCACGTAAAATTTTAGTTTGTTTTTTTCATTTAAAATAATTGTACTACTAAGTACATGTTTTCTTCTCCTAAGACTCCCCTCCAGTAGCGTGATAGTTGTGTGTTACAGAGGTTAAATGAAGGTAGCCAACAGGTAATTTACTTAGGTCTCTAGTTGATAAAAAATTGCATTCAAATGGAGGGCATTGTACATAAGGAAATAGTGCTTGAATTG